GCGTCAACCTTCAAGAAACTAGTGTACAAGATTGGGATACGAAGGCTCAACGATGTGAACTGATGATCTCATCAGGGGGAGTTAATACGCGTTGTACTCTTTTTCCCTTACAAGGTTTTGTCCCATTGGGTTTTCCTTGCAAGGTTTTTAACGAGGCAACCAAACGGCATATTTCTAAATATGTGTACTCTTTTTCCTTCATTAGGATTTTTTTCCCATAAGTTTTTTTTCTAATAAGGTTTTAACGAGGCACATTATTTATGGACATCCAAGGGGGAGTGTTATGATAAAAATCAAAATATGATGGATGTCTACTCTTCTTCCATGACCTTTCTCTCAAATGGTTAATGACATATTCAATGACATATTTTCTATGTTCAATGACATATTTCATGACATATTTTCTTCACTTTTCATGCCTATATAAATGCCTTGTAATAGATAGGAAAAAACACACAATTGAAGAAGAAAATCTCTTCCTTCTCTCTATCTCTATTTCTTGTTCATGTTTTACTAAATTGCTTTTATTTCTTGTTCATGTTTTACTAAATTGCTTTTATTTCATAACAATTATTAGTTTATTTAGTTCTTATATTATTATTTTTAAATAAAAATAAATTTACGTTTTCAAATTTTAAGAAAATAAGCTGTCGTATTTAAATTTAGGAATAAAGTTTTTATAATTAAATATGTAGTCAGATTTAAATATTTTAGTCAAACAAAAAATAAACGTGACATGAAGAGTAAAAAACGCTGAACGTTGCTTTAAAAAAGAAAAGAAAAACAAACTCTGAACAAACCAAAAACAAGTCCGACAAGGCACGAAGGTGCATGTGCGCCTCGTGTACTATGAGACATAAACCTAAAATCACGAGATTAAGAAAATCCAATTGTCAACAGGTGTAAAGGAACACGACACAAGTGCTTTGACAACTTTTCCGTTCAATAGAGGTGTGTGGCTGGATTTAGCAAATTCTCACTAAACATATCAAATGGCCACTTTCACTATGCTAAATTAACGAGTGCGTTCACAGTGGCCATGAAATCATGAATGACGACCCATTCCTTTCTTTATTCAATCCAAACTTTTCTTGTTACAGCTCTCCATTATTGTCCTTTTTCTACATGTATAACGCATGGAAAGGTCACTTTCTTTTGATTCTTCTTCTTGTTTTTGTTCCCCTCTTAAGTCAAGTATGGACTTCTCTTCTTCTTGCTTCTGCTACTCGCACATCTCACTCAAGGTATGCTCTTTCTTTCTGCTTCTGTATCACACTACTCTATGTTCCCTTTTGTTTTCCTGGCTGTGATATGTCATGGTCAATTGGTGTTTTTGTTGCTTTATGATAAAAGTTGGGATGGTATAATGCTACTTTATACTCCATCTGTTTTAATACTCCATCTGTTTTAATTTAGATGGCATTTGCAACGGAATTTAAGAAAAACAGAGAAACTTTTGAAATTTGTGGTTTTAAAATTTTTGTGGAGCAATGAAATTTGTGTGGTTATAAAAGTTTTTTATCAAGGATAAAATGGGTAAAATAAAAAGTTTAAAGTTTGAATTATTTTTAAATAATTTGTTTTTTTGGAACGGACTAATAAGAAAATTGTGTCGTCTAAATAAAGAAAAAAAGAGTAGTATTTTATAGTCCCCACGTGGCAGTTACAATAGCCCAAAAAAATTTAATACCAGAAGGTTATGCAGGGCAGAGCTGCATGATCTGATGGGGTTCAAATGAATCCGCTTTCTAGGAAAATTATACGTGCAAATAAAACGAAAAAATTTCAGGGTATATATAAATTGTTAAAGCCCTTTCACATAAGGGAAAGGGGCTAATAAAAAACATCCTTTTTTCCAGTGTGCATGTGTGTGTGTTTGGGGGGGGGGGGGGTGCTATATCTTTGAAGAATGAGGTTTTGCTACTCATTGAACACTAGCAAGTTGGAGGCTACAATGAAATTCTACTGCTCTTTGTGCAGTCATTTCATTTACCAATTAAGAGTTTTTAAATTCTTTTCCTGAAATTAACTACCTATTGCAGATGAACTGCAGGGCACCTGCCTTGATGTCCAGGAGAAACCAGCCAACCTCTTATACTTTTATAGAAAAGAAATCTGACATTGTGAATCAACGAGTAGTGGAATTCGGAACCAAGTTTAGAAGTGGAGCTAATTTTCTGGGAGGATCAAGAGTCATTATTCAACTTAACCTTCAAACAACTCTTCCGCAAAGAAAAAGCTCGACGGTGACTGCTTGTAATCATTTACCCACTTCATCCTAGTTAGTCATTTATTTCTGGTTTTGTGTGTTTGATTATGGCCAACTAGTTTTAAAGCTGTGCCTAATAATGTTGTTGCTCCATTTGTTACTGGTACATTGAGAGTAAACTTCATCCTCATATTGGCATACATTCTTCCTTGATCATCCTATTGTACGGTTTCGGTCCTGACATTGACAACTTTTATGCCATCTCATAACCTCCGGAAGGTGTAACACTTGCAAGCTTTTAATCAAGATTTTCTGTTCCTCTTTTGTAGGTTTGCCAAGTTCTGAAATTGCTTCTACTGTTTTTACACTGGGGACAGCAGCGGTTCTTCCGTTTTATACCCTCATGGTTGTGGCTCCTAAAGCTAAACTTGTAAGATTTGCAGAGTATTTTCAATCTCAACTCCTTATGCAATTTTCTTTTTTCTGCATACTGGAGATCACATTTGGCAGCTTAATTATGAATTCAATATGCTTTTACAAGTTAAATGGTTATTAGCTACATCTGTTGGTATCCTAATATATGATTTCCACTTGGTTGCATTGGTTTGATATTTTATTATGAGCTGCTTTTGTCAAAAAATATAACGCATTGCTTCATTTCAATTTTCAAGTAAAGTTGTAATTGAACATAGTTTCAAATGCAGACCAGAAAAGTGATGAAAAGCAGCATACCCTATATTGGCTTTGGACTTCTGTACGCATATCTATTATACCTCTCTTGGACACCAGATACAATTCAGCTGATGTTTGCTAGTAAATACTGGCTTCCGGAGGTCTGTGCTCAACTACATAATAATTTGTACTAATTGCCTGCTCAGGGTCTTAACACTTCGTTCCCATTCAGCTGCCAGGCATAACTAAGATGTTCTCCAACGAGATGACATTAGCTTCTGCATGGATTCACTTGTTGGCTGTAGATCTTTTTGCTGCAAGGTCAGTCTGTTGGCGTCTATCTTTATTATTGCGCTATGCCCGTTTACTTTCGTTTTGGGAGAAGAGAGGATGCCACTGTTAGACATTATAAATAGTGTTTTTCATTTGAAACAGGCAGGTTTATCATGATGGATTGCAGAATGATATTGAAACCCGCCATTCTGTGTCTCTGTGCTTGCTGTTTTGCCCCGTCGGAATTGTTACTCACTTCATCACCAAAGCTCTAACCAGTAGCTCAGAAAAAAGACAGCATAGGACTCATTAACCAAGAATGTAGGCCATTATAAATGATCAGCCTGTGTGTGACTATCAGCAAAGTGTAAAGGTTTTCAGCAATGAAACACAACAGTAGAAGCTTGTATTCTTGTAATACAACATTGGTATACTGATGATCCAACTAGGGGTGTTCATAAAAACCTGAAAAATCGAACCAAATCGACTAAAAAAATAGATACTTTTTTGGTTTGATTTGATTTTGGTTTTGGTTTTGAATTTTAAAAACCGATCACNATATATATATATTTATAAAAAGTTTCTAAAATTTTATGGTACATGTTAATCGTTTGCACTTTTAGTCGGTTTCTTTGAATGAACCGACGCGGTCCGCACTGTTTTGTGTTGTGGCCGCGTAGCTTCAGCGCGGACCGCACAGAAATGGCCGCGGACCGCACAGGTGAACTACCAAAATGGTGACTTCTCTGAACTTTTCACACGTGGTCCGCACTGTTTTGGATCGAAGTTCTTTGCTATTATTATAACCTAGTTCTTTGCCTTACATTTTAATTTGATTGGTAGCTTTCTTTTGCTAAGTACAAGAATCTATTTCATGTTAAAAATAATCTATTTTTAATTGAGTCCTTAAATCATTAATAATTATTTGATTCAGTTATCATCAATATAATAACAGATTTCTCAAAGAGTAACTAGTTTGATAGTATTACGTTGAAAATGTAGTCACCGGAATATGTGTTTGGTAGTGTATGCATCATATTTAAGGAAAAACCGAAAAACCAACAAAAACTAAATCGATAAAAAATCTGACTTAATTGGTTTAGTTTGGTTCCAATATTTGAAAAATCGCCTTACTCGGTTTGGTTTCTTTTTTGGAAAAAGCCGATCCAAACCAAACCATGAACATCCCAGATCCAACTTCCATAAATCTAACTTGTCTCTAAGATGGATATATGTACAAGATTTCTTCCTTTAGTTCTACTCCAAACTTTTGATTTACTGCATCCTTAACTATGCCTATGAGCTCAAGCATGTCTTGAGAAGTGGCAGAACCACAATTTATGAAAAAGTTGGCATGCTTGTTTGAGACCATAGCTCCACCAACTTTTAACCCTTTCAATCCAGCTTGCTCAATCAATTCTGCAGCAGAAAAACCCATAGAATATGGATTTCTAAAAACTGAACCAGCACTTCTTTGCGCCAAAGGTTGTGTACTCCATCTTCTGCAAAGAAACCAATTTTTTTTCTTGCAATTTAACGACTGATCGTGACATGTTTCCAATTAAGAACATCACATTATAGACAGTTACCTAGCCAGGTATTCTTGCTGCATTTCTCGTGCAGTTTTGGAGAACTTTAACCGGAATGTAACTGCAGTAATGGATGCCAAGTTCTTCATTTCTTGAAATGGTGATGACCTATAGCCAAAATTTAGCTCTCTTCTTTTTAGCATCCTAGATTCGCCTTCATTTGTGATGATTTCCACGCTATCAATAGTATCAGCTGTTTCCTTTATATCAATGACAAACAAGCTGCAATCTCAGTATCACCAATTATAACTGAAGGCTGTAACAGATACAGAAGTTGCACTAACAATAACAATGCCTCAAGTCCAAAGTAGTTATATCTCTATACGGAATCACTATATCCAAACTAGTTAGATCTCCATATGTATTCTCTATATCCAAGCTCTTTTTGGACCTGTTTCATTCCGATATTATCCTTACACTGACATATTAATCTCTAACCAAGCCAAAAAAGCTCTTGGCAAATGCTAAACCTAATCAACAACGATTAATCCCAACTAGCTGAGCTTATACAACAAATATTAACCGAGGGAGAGGGAGACCTTAGGGGTCATTTGGTTGGGAAACAAGTTATCTCATGATTAATTATTCCGGGATTAGTTATCCCACCCTCTCCATACACTACAATCGCGGGATAACTAATCCTTAGTTCTTAGAATGATGATTTACCTGGCCATTTGCTCCAGCATTCATGTAAGCAGCTCCACCAACAGTCCCAGGAACACCGCCAGCAAATTCAAGCCCCGAAAAACTTCATTTGCACACAAAACTCCCAAACGATTAAACGGGTACCCACTTCCAACCCGGTATACTCCATGTTCTATCTTCTCCAAGAACTCGATCCGATTGAGAATGACACAACCATCAAAACCCATGTCATCGAACAGGCAATTCGAGCCCTTACCCAATATTATATATCTCATCGATTGCTCATCACAATACCTGCACTATTTCATTAGGGTAAAGTGTAAGCTGCAAGTGAATGATCAATTGACTAAGCCACAAACTCAAACTAATAACGTATAATCTTCCCGTCAATTTAGACCCATTTATTCAAAGCTAAATAATCCATCTATGCCAAAATACTCCAAAGATTAAATGGGTAAAATGTAATGGTGGTTGTTTGTTGAAGAAGAGGAAGAGGTGGAACCTGACAGCAGAAAGAAGTTGGGTTTGATTGAAGACTTGAAGGAAGTAATTAGCAGGTCCTCCAATGCCCCATGTGCTCAGATCACTCAGCAGCTTCTTCTTCCGAATAAACTGTAAACCCATCGAGTTTTGAGCTGGTTCTTGCTCGTTGAAGCTGCTGTAAACATGACAAGAATGCAACTCTCTAGGTGGTTTTAGAGGGAATTGATAGTTTGGCATATGAAACGCCATGAAAAAGGTGGCTATATTTGGTGCTAATAGGAGTACGTGGTTTGGGGCTTTGATCTCTTTTTCTGACGGGCAATGTCGGCGAAAAGAGAAGAGTTAAGTCGGGTCACAAATGTCATGAATAATAGGTGTGACAAACGGGCTGGGCGGGTCAAAAACGGGTAATCAAAAAGATATAAATTATCCGATCCGTCCCATATTTAATACGGATAAAAACGGATTAATTGGCGGATAACTTGAATATGATCACTTTTGGGAGAATTACTAGTCTTCCAAACTTGAGGAACCCCAAGTTTGAGGCTTTACAAATGTAAAAGTTAAACTCATTGGTTATCCATTGATTACTCATTAGTTATCCATTTTTTAAATGGATAATATGGTTCTTATCCATATTTGACTCATTTTTAAAAAGTTCATTATACCTCCTATTTTTTATTGGATAATATGGATAGTTAACTATTTTCTTTTAACCATTTTGTCACCACTAGTCACGATCAAAGGCGTTGTTAGTAAACTATATTTGTAAAATAATTCTGGAGAATATAAAATAACGTATTGTATGCGGCGAAATTAGAGGGCCTAATTTCTTGCTATCGAGTCACTTCAGAAGAATACCTTGAGACCCCGAAGACGCGAGACAGTGACCAGGTATTGTGGCTCCAATGACCAGGCATAGCTCGAGATCGAGCCCAGGCATCGATCTCGAGGCCCTTCATCGGTCAGCTCGAGGCCTGGACGGCTAGCTCCTCGGTTTGATTACAACCCCGTTTTAGTTCGTATTTCGTCGTTAAGCTTCACATATCTAGCATCAACTGCCTTAACAACTAGCATAAAAATAGATCACGTATTTTTAGAGTCTCATTAACAAATTTAATTGTTAATACCATTTTCACGGTAAACAGTTTGGCGCCCACCGTGGGGCTAAATAATATTGATTATTTTCTTGCTGGTTTTATTACACAAACGCAAGTTATCTTTCACAGTTTTTCTTGTCCAAGATCTTCGATTTCAGGTCAAAATGTCTGTCTCAGTGAATAGAGCCGAGAACGACAACCTCGAAAACCATGGAGAAAACGGTGTGGTTGTTCCGGTTGTTGGCGTGCCATTACAGAACCCAATAACGCACTTGGACCGATCCCAGCGGATGCGGATTCGCAAGACACGCGGCAGGTCGACGAAACCTCACACACCGATAGGAGCATACGACACGGCAACCAACAGGAAGCCCAAGAAACCCCAGCCTGGGAAGAACAGGAAGTTAGTCTTCATGTTGTTTTTGAAATGTTACAGGCACAACAGCTGGCTATTGCCCAGCTTCAAAGCCACCCAAAGATTCCCAGCACGGTAGCACCGGGGATAGCTCCCCCAGCTGAGCAGGTACCTGAGAGATCGAGCAATAACAGATCGATAGCGACCCTGCCATCGTAAAGATGCTCAAGGAACTCACCAAAAGGATCGAATCGGGCGAGAAAATGATAGCAGCCAATGACAAGAAGGTCGGGGCCTATAACTTCAGGGTCGACCAGATCCCGGGCGCACCCCCGATCCTAAAGGGTGTGGATTCGGAGAAGTTCATACAAAGGCCCTTCCTCGATGTAGCGGCCCCGAAACCCATTCTAAAGATATTTAGAATGCCGGAACTCACAAAGTACAACGGGACATCAGACCCCGATGAACGCGTTACCGCTTACACTCGCGCGGTAAAGGGCAACGATATAAAGAATGATGAGATCGGGTCTGTATTGCTGAAGATGTTCGGGGAAGTGCTCTCGAAGGGGGCCATGAGGTGGCATCATAACCAAGCTCCCAACCCCATAGACTCACTTACCATACTGGCAGATTCCTTCATAAAGGCACACGCCGATGCCATCGAAGTAGCGACAGGAAAGTCCGACGCATTCGAGATTAAGCAAAGGGAGAATGAAATGTTGCAAGGATTCGTATCTCGTTTCCATACGGAACGAACGAAACTATCCCTGGTCTCCAACTACTGGACGGTGCAGGCCTTCACTCAAAACCTGAATGAACGAAGCTCGGTGGCTTCAAAACAATTGAAATAAAACTTGATCGAGTATCCAGCTAAGACCTGGTCGGACGCCCACAACTGGTACCAGTTACAAATCAGGGCCGAGGATGACCAGCTGGGAGCCCCCTCGGGCTCAGTATACCCAATCAGGCTCCTGGCAAAGAAACTGAAACCAAACAAAGAAAGATACCGGCTATACGCCGAAAAAAAGAAGAATGCCCCGAGACGCAACCTACCTCGCAACAGTCGGAGAATGGATCGAGGACAATATCCTCGAGGACTCATCAATAGAGCCAGATTTGACGGAGACACGAGTCCAGCAGGGGCACGTCGCCCATCAGAATACAACTTCAACATCTCTGTATCGGACATCATGTTCACCGTCAGCAAAACCAGGGACACCAAATGGCCCAGGCCTATTCAATCAGATCCTTCCTAGAGGAATCACAACTTGGCATGTGAGCTACATAAGACACACGACCACAAAAT